AGTGGAACTTTATTATCGCCTTGTTTGAGGACACTGGGACTTTATTATCGTCTTGTTTGAGGATGTTGGGACTTTATTAATGTCTCGTTTGAGGACATTGGGACTTTATTATCGTCTCGTTTGAGGACAGTGGAACTTTATTATCGTCTCGTTTGAGGACACTGGGACTTAATTGTTGTCTCGTTTTAGGACATTGGGACTTAATTATTGTCTTGTTTGAGGACACTGGGACTTTATTATTGTCTCCTTTGAAGCCATTGGGACTTTACTATTATCGTCTCGTTTGAGGACATTGGGACTTTATTATCGTCTTGTTTGAGGACAGTGGAACTTTATTATCGTCTTGTTTGAGGACATTGGGACTTTATTATCGTCTTGTTTAAGGATGTTGGGACTTTATTATTGTCTTGGTTTAGGACACTGGGACTTAATTATTGTCTCGTTTGAGGACATTGGGACTTAAGTATTGTCTCGTTTGAGGCCATTGGGACTTTACTATTATCGTCTCGTTTGAGGACAGTGGAACTTTATTATCGTCTCGTTTGAGGACGTTGGGCCTTTATTATTGTCTCGTTTAAGGACTATGGGTCTTTGTCATTTTCTTTTTGAGGACATGGGGGTTTGTCATTGTCTTCTTTGAGGATGATGGGACTTTATTATCATCTCATTTAAAGACACTGGAACTTTGTCATCATCTCATTGAGGACATAGGACTTTATTATTGTCTTGTTTAAGGATGCTGGGACTTCATCATCATCTTGTCATAGGACATTGGATCTGTGTCATCATCTCATCTGTGGACATTAGGACTTTACTATCGTCTCATTTGAGGACACTGGGACTTTGTCATTGTCTCGTTATAGTTGGGTCTTTGTCATCGTCTTATTTGAGGATGTTGGGACTTTATTATCATCCCATTTGAGGACATTGGGACTTAAATTATGGTATCATGCGAGGATGTTGGGACAGTAATTAGAAGATGAAAAGGTCCCAATGTCTTCAAATGAGTTCTTCCTGATAAAGGGTGTCTTAGCTTGTTACTGTTGCTAAAATTGGTCAAATTTGTTGCCATATCAAACTACAAACATTATTAATCATAAATAAACAAGTTTTAACAATAAAATTTGATCATGTTTTGTTATGTGTCGACATCAGCTGCAGACTGACTTGGCAGAGGTGGCTACCATTTTGTTTTTACATGGATTAGTGTATTGTGCTCTTACTACCACTAGATGGCACAAAAAAAATTGTCCACGAATGAGGACAAAAGGTCTAAGCTAAGCAGAAGAAGTATAAGGTGTAGTGATGGGCAAAGCTTGAAATCTAATCTGATCTTGAAAAAACTAATAAAAATGTTCAACTCAATAGAAGGGAAGTCCGAAAGTAGCAGTAGCAAAAGTACCAAGTTCTCCAAGTCTTTTTTCCCATACAATGCCTGCTGTAACCTTTGCTCTGCATAAGCTATTAATTGAGCAGTTTTATTTTACTTTCCTGTATTTTATACTCTAAACTTTCCTTACACATGGGTAATATTTGAACTAACAGTTCTTCTGCCTGACTACTGGTAACCCACAGGCTGTAGCTGTACACCCACACACAGACTCACATACGAGCGCTCACACTTTTCTCACTCATTTATTTATTTATTTCTCATCTCTCAGTTGGCTGGGAGCTCAAGTTGGAAATTAGAAAATTTCGACTCCCTCATTTCTCTCCAATTTCACTTCAATTTCTTCCCCATTCTGCGCTCCCTCCCTCTAATTTCTGCCTCTCCTCTGCCGTCTCATTGTGCTCTCTGCTTTCCTTGTTAGCTCTGCTCGGGTCTCTCACCTCTCATTAGCTTCTCCTCTGCTGACTGGAGGCACCTGTCCTCAGGTCCCACTGCGGATATCTCAGCTTCTGTTTAAATCAATTTCCATGTTAAATAGCTGCTGGAGGGTGTGGGTGGGTGAGAGGTGGGGTGGGCCCGTGGTTGGGCACGGATGGGAGGTGGAGGAGCTTGAGACATTACAATGAACCACAACTCTTTCACACCGCTGACCCTCCAGGCTGATCCACAGCCCCTGTCTTGTTCTCTCTCGCAGTCCCTCCCTCCTCCCCCCCTTCCCTTTTCTGCTCTGGCCTTTTATCACTCCGTGTTCTCCCCTTTGGCTTTTCTCTTTCATTTTATTTCCCTCTCTGTCCTCCTCTTTTTTTCTTTCTCTTTCTGTCTTTGGCTCCCATTCTCCCAGTGCGGCCCAGGGCATGTTCTCATTTCAGATGAGAGCTAAAAAGAGTTGTGACAAGGTGGTGTGTTTGTGTGTGTGTGTGTGTGTGTTTTTGTTTGTGTGTATGTGTTGGGTCTCTCAGTTCGAGAGTTGCTTCATATATTACACTTTCTCTCAGTTGCTTTGGTACATTTCTCAAATCAGGACTACTACTTGTTCAGCCCCCACATCATCTCGTCATGAAAGCAATTTCTCATACTTTTAACAAATTGCAAAGGGATGTCAGTGGCGGTTAATCATGCTTTCCGTAGTTACATGTAGAAACATAGTGCCACTCCTCACCCTCAGGTCTTCAGTAGTTAGCTATCCTTGGCCACTCTGCACTGCGCACCACCAAGGTCAGGTAGGAGCTAGCCTAATTGCCCTAATTCGGCAATTACTGCTGGTAAATCAGTCCCTGTGGCGGGACAGTGTTGCTTTGAAAAAACAGGTGGCAACCCTCCGGTCCATCCTCATGTCGCCCCCGTGAATTAGCATCTTCATTTTGACCTGCAAATCCCTTTTAGCATTTTTAAAGGGATACTTCACAGATTTTCAACCAGCTTTGTATCAAAACAATGTGGGTTGTATGTGTAAATGAACCACTGAAAAATTCCCTCCATCCAACCAGTGATATCCAGATGGCCAGATGACGCAAATGATGCTAAACATGTATTTCACTGCCTCTCCTGGGCTGTTGCTCAAACTACAGGCTGCATTTCGTATTACCTGCCACCCATACCGCCACCACAGACACAAACAGTAGAGAGGTAGATCAAGAGATATATCTGCCCCCTCACTCTCTCAAACTTGGACTGAAATCCAATCAAACGGTAAAGTAGGCAGTGCTGATTGGATATAAATCAAGATGATGTCCCTGCACTGCTTATTTCTCACCTTAAATGTTTTTAGAAACATGTTTTAGCTTATCGTTTAACTATAGTACGACGTCATTTTGTTGCCAGCCAGCCGTCTTTATGTCAAACGTACAAGTTCTGGTTGTTGTAGGTTTCTACCTCCGGAGCAAAAGCAGATGCCACAGTCATTTCCCTCTGTTCTCTCTGGTCATGTAACACAAATTTAAACCAGGGGTGTCAAACATACAGCCTGTGGGCCAGAACCGGCCCACCAAAGGGTCCAATCCAGCCCACTAGATGACTAGACTACAAGATGCAAGGTTTTAGGAGGTTTTAGGAGCTTCTAATGCAGCATTTTACATGCTGCATTAGAAGCTTTTCCACCCGTACCAGAATACAGTTCTCTGAAAACACTAAATACTTATAGATATTGAACGTCGTGCAAAGTATTGTCAATCAGCGGCTTCAGTACAAAAGAATCTGCATCAGACCAATGTCTAAAAACAATATTGGTGGAACACTGCTGCTAAAAAATGGAAATGTATGGATAAATGCCCATGTGATGACAACTATACTGACTGAATGTGGAAAAACTGAGACATGTTATTAAAATTACACTTATTGTTCTGAAGACATCTTAGGCTGTTCATCTGTGTATTAACCCTCTGAAACCTGGAGTGACATCGCTTTTCTTGTGCTGCTTGCAGACGCCTTTCAGAAGTATTCAAACCTTTGAACCCTGAGCAAATTTGTGCAATTTCTTTGAAAAACATGCGGAAAAGAGGCAATGAGCACCTTTGTAAGAAATGTTCTACAAATTACAAAAAATAAAGAGATCTAGAAAAATATTTAAAAAAAAGCTAGAGAAAAACAATTATTATAATTAGCACTATTATATATTACAGAATTATTATAGTTTTAAAATAATTTTTAAGCTCTCTTCCTTGTTTGATCATCTTTTCTTATTTCCTTTTTTTTTTTTTACAAAATGTCTTGTTTTTAATTTTCTCCTTTTACTGATTTCTTGCTCATTTTTGGGGTAATTTCTTTTTTCTTTGCTTATTGCCCTTGTCTGTTGCTCATTGCCTTCCTCCCATGTTTCTTAAAGAAACCAAGCCAATTTGCTCAGGTTTTAAAGGGTTAAATGATGAATATTTACAGAATGTACTTGTACTTCTTTACATGAAAAGTAAAGGAAAAATTGGAGCTGTTGTTATTCATAGCTTATTATGTGATGGTTTTATTGGTCCAGCCCACTTGAGATCTAGTGAACTAAATCTGGTGTAGACAGCCCAGTTTTTATAAAAGACAATGGGCCTCATTCACTAATATCTGCGCAGAAATGTTCGTACTCTCTGCAAAAAATAAGTACTTGCGCAAAATCACTGTCGGATTCATGACAAACTGAAATTATTGTGGCAGAGGTGGAGGCCAGAAAAGGCATGCTGTTCTGTAGCGTGTCCACCGGAGTTACAATGCAAAAAAAAAAAAAGAAGCCTGGGCTGAAATAACACAGGCAGTTAATTCTGTGTCCCCTGAGGCACGGACGGTGGCACAGGTAAAAAAGAAATGGTTCGACATAAAAGTTGATGCCAAAAAAAGAATTGCAACCCACAAAACAAATAAGGAAACAGGAGGAGGACAAGGAGCACCAGACCTGACAGCCCAGGATGAAAGGTTGGCTGCAATTATTGGCCAGTCATCATTAACGGGAGTTTGTTCCAGGCATGAGGGAGAAAGTGATCACATCTCTCAAGAATCACCCAGAGGTAACTTATTTCATGACTAAAATGTTTGCCATTTCTTGTGTCTAATAATTAACGAGTGCAATTCAATCAGAACAAAGACTTTATTTAAATGAATGCTGCTTGCAACTGTTAATTTGACAAATTATCTTTTAGGCTCCAATGATGGTGAATCTGAGGATGACGCCGTCACGCCATCCACTTCCCAGTCTTTCCCGGAATGTCGTCAGCCTGCCCGCGTCCTTACGGATGAGGTTGTTCGCAATCAGCTGGCTCTCCTGAATGCAGTGAGGGAAAATGCAACAGGAATCGCAAACATCAAAGAAACGCTACAACGGTTGCTTGATGTCTTTACAAATAAATACGTACATGATTGAATGTGTATCACTTGCTTCAAAATTAAGAAACCCTTGAATGAAATGTATTTGGTATACAACTTGAAACAAGAAATTTAACTTACCATCAAAGACGCTGCATTAAGGTGTGTCGAGCCAGCACTGCAGCCCTGCCAGGAGGCCCCACATTTGGCTGTGCGTCTTCCTCTGGTTGAGGTTCTGCTACAGCTGGTATGGGGATGCCATGTGCTATGGCTACGTTGTGCAGGACACAGCATGCCATAACAATTTTGCACACCTTCTGGGGTGCATAAAGTAACTTACCGCCAGCTGTGTCCAAGCACATCCAGCGACCCTTGAGCTGTCCAAATGTGCGCTCTATTACGGAGCGTGTGTGGACATGAATTGTGTTGTAGCGGACCTCTTGAGGCGTCTGAGGGTTGGCAAAGGGAGTCATCAGCCAGGTTTTCAGACCATATCCCCGGTCACCTAAATAGTAGAACACATTGTAGCATAAACAGAATAAAAGGTTTACACTTAAGATATAATATTTTAAAGAGCTACTCACCAACAAGCCACCCGTCCCTTACAGCCCCTGCCTCAAACGCACTCCCGCTGTTGCGTAAAATAAAGGAGTTGTGGGTTCCTCCAGGCCAGCGGGCCACAAAGTTGAGGATGCGGCAGTCAGCGTCACAGATTACCTGCACGTTGATTGAGTGGTAGTTCTTTCTATTCATAAACTGCATGGAGTTTGTTGATGGAGCTTTAATGCGCACGTGGGTGCAGTCTATCGCTCCAACAGTATTTGGCATTCCAGCAATGCCGTGGAGCCCCCTCTTCACTTCACTCTGGCGTCGTTCGTCATAGAGAAATTTTAGGACGATTGGCATTTGTCTGATGATGCCATTCAACACCTTCGGGATGACACGGCTCAGAGTGGGTTGTGAAATCCCAGCCCGATCTGCTATTTCCCTCTGGAATGTACCTGTAGCCAGGAAACCGAGGGTGGACAGGACTTGAACCTGAGGAGGTACAGGGTGAGAGCAGTGTGTCGGGTGCTGAAGATGTGGCTCCAGGGAATTGCACAGCTCCAGCAAAACATGCCTTGGCAGTCGGAAACGGCTCATAAGCCATTCTTCACCTTCATCAAACATGTTTTGATGGTCCCTGAAGATGCGCTCTCTCCTGAATGCACGGGCAGCAATATCTTCCAGCAAGGCAAGATCTACCATATCTCCACTCGGTTGGAGGTAAATTGGACTCCTTTATATATCTTCCATACCAATTAATCAATGAAATCAACTACAGATGCGCACAGTCATGGCACTACAAATTTTTGGGTATCACCTATCAATTATAGGCCAATAAACAATTTAATAAAGGCCAAAAGTGTTACATTTCAATATGAACATTTTCATATGGTCTACTCTATTGTAAACTTGATAAAATAACTCAACTGCTATAATTGAAGAATTTAATTATATGACAATAAATTATGAGGGTGACACGGCATTTACGTTTGGCCCATAAATTAGTAAATTCAATTATTGTTGTCTATTAAAGCCTTTTTTCAATAAATGAAGTTTTAATATTGTATGCATTTAGTTAAAAGGGTGTGTGTTAACATTTCCTAGGACATTTCTTTAATCATTTGTGCGTACGCATGGTCTGAGGGAGTTCTAAATTTGTTCGCAGAGTACGAAGAAATTTAGGTAAGAACAAACTGATGAATCCCAGATTTGTGCGTAAATGAGGCCCAATGTTTCCAACAGTAAAAATACTTCTTCAACAGTAACACTGCTAATGATGCTAATAGGGCTAACAATGATAAAAAGTTAACAATACCAAAGAGGGATTGCGGATGAAATTAAGCCACTTACTCCCCAGGGTGACCAGAGGGTGCTGCTGGGTCGGGGCGGCATCACTAGCATTAATCGCTGATGAGTGCGGCGCTAGCTAAATTCCACCAGATCCAGGTAGACCGCTCTGCAGTTAACTGAAGAGTAGCTAAAATAACCTGTGGACCAACAGTCAAAAATATTCTTGGTGGTTAATAGATTTATGTTGAACCATTGGCATCCCTGGTTTGGCACACATTCAATGATTCTCTACATTATCATTTGCTTATGTCATGTTGGTCAAAAGTTTTTATACTGGTTTGTTGTTGAATAGTCTTACCCCCTGAAAACATCTAAGCTTTAGTTCATTGCACAAGTCACTAGATCCAAAATGGTTGAATCAGTTGTCAATAATCCCTCCAGCAGACTTTCTATAAACTTCTGTCAGACTTTTTTTCCTGTTGTGTTGTGCATGAGAATCTGTGGCTAGACAGAGAGGAACGTCAGGAGGGGTAGAGAGACTGCACTGTAATTCCCCACACAGCGCTCCATGTACAGTTCTGCCTACGGGCTGTTTCCTGTGTTTACATTTCTGATTTTGTATTTTTTTTCCTCTGTGTGATGCAGTGCTGTAAAACAGTCTTTTTCTCTCCTGTATCACAACGACATGGCCTGTCAACAAATTACAGAACAAAGGGACACAGTGTTTGTCATTCTGCACCGCCATCATTGACATAAATATTTACTTTGGAGAGATAAACTAAGGATTTTGAGCAAGTTGTGGGATTTTGCAGGTGATCCACTGTGTGCTGCTGTTTGTACGAATAATTTTGAGAAATGCCCTCACTGTTTTGCAAATGTTAAAGGGCTGGTTTAGATCTTTTGGGCTGGGGTTGTATAAGGTAGTTATCCATAGTCAGTGTATTACATATACTAGATGTCAGATGGCACGGCCCCAGATTGGAGAAGCAGGCTGGAGTAGAAGCTAAGTTACTGTGGAGGGGGGTAACAGCATAAGGGGCCACACACATGCCGTGTCTTTAACTGCCTGGAAAACGCGAAGTCGGGTGCTGAATGCTACTCTTGTGTCTTTTCTGTGCCAGCTTTCAAGAGCGCAGCGGCAGGTTGCGTCTGAGGTTGCTAAACAATCTTAACAAGCACCATATAGCCTATTTACGTAAAGTCCGGAGTGCAGAGCTGATCTTCTTCTGTAAGGAAATTACTCAACTTCAGTAAGCACTGAAATGAAGAGAGTCGGAGAGCCACGGAGAAAAGTTACAGCCAATGGGATTACTTTAATTGCAAAATACAACTCAGCACACTCAGGTTGTAGACCACAAACAGTATGAAAACTTCCAAAAGCTTTTATACTGTTGAGTGTGGGCATCTGTTCGTTTGTGTGCGTGTGTGTGCAGACAGGTCCGGAATTATGATCTAATTGTCCCAATAGGTTTGATTTCTTGGGAAACCTAAGTGTTTTCTGCTCCATTTGATTTTGAGAATTGGAGCTGCGCACAAACCTCAATTTATCAAAACAACTCCTTTATCGGAGTTTACCTAGCATTCCGAACGTCACTTAACTCAAAAACAACTTCTTATCAAGGATTTCTTTCCTATTGCGAAACCTAGCCTATCTGTTCCAACGGTCAGGTCACCCTGGCCCAAAATGTTCTGCTCCATTTATTTTTCCAGAGCTTGACTACGCAAGAACTACTCAATTTACCAAAACACCTCTAAGGAGTCCTTCTTATTGCCAAATCTGACATTTGATCAACTGCTTCCAAGACCTTGTGCAACTGACATTATTTTCAGAAATTATCAGAAAAATAACGGGACTTTAGCCCACTGCTTTTAAAGGGAAATTTCGGTTTATTTCAACCTGTCTCCTATCGTCCTAAATTTGTTTCAAGTGACTAGTGACATAAAAATAATAGTTAGCATGTTAGCCGTTAGCCTAGATACAGCCGGGGCGCATAGTAGCGTCAGACCTGTTAAAACGTAAGTGAACGGGCAACCTTCAAGTGCAAAGTTAGTCCACTAAACAAGCTTTTTTTCCACAAAGACCGCCTCATATCGTTAGGATAAATGTCAGAGAACA